CGTCATGTTTGACCGGAAGTGGCTTTCATTTTTAACAGAAATGAGAAATAACGTCCATAAATGGTTTGATTTTTCTAATTCCATGTTAATTATTGCAAAAATAAGCCATTTTTTGTTACTTCCGGTTTAACCGGAAGTGACGACGACGGACGGAACATTAATTATAATGCTCCCAGAGACATATGTTACCAGAAAACTTGTCAAGAACAGCAAAAATACGCGTTTTCCGACTACTTCCGGTTGGACCGGAAGTGACGACGCCGGACGTATTTTGACGACTTCAATAGATAAAGCTTGACATTTTGAACAACTTTGCTTCTTTGACGTATCACAAATTCTCAATAGTTTTTGAGATATAAAGGAAAAACTTTCGGCCCCTCCAGACCCATGATTTAAGGGGCCAGCCCCTTTTCCGAGATGTCATTTGAAAGATCTTGAAATTCTACACCTTTTTTGTTCTACATGCTTTAACAAAATATTTCTAGGTAAAACGTTATCGTTGAAAAATTGCTTAAAAATTTGAAATTCTTGACAGGACTATTTTCGGGCCATAGCGAGCGTCGGCGCTTCGTACTTCCGGTAGTTGAGATATACTTAGTGCACTTCTCCAAAAGTTGCTCTAGCATCACTGAAAATTTCAAGCTTCTGTGTTAAGTGCTTTTTGAGAAAACTGCCGGACAAAGAGACCCTCTAAAAATCACTAAATCGCAGAAAACTCCGAACCGGAAGTGACGTCATCAAAATGAAAAAAATATATGTCTAGATTTTTTGATGTTCTATCAGACCTGAAAGTTTCATGAAAATCAATCGAGCCGTTCTCGAGAAATCGCGCGTACAAAATCGGTAAGAAAAAAAAACAATAATAATAAAAATAGTGGAAAAGAAACCTAAGAAAAAAATAAGGTCTTCCGCTGAAGACGGAAGACCTTAATAACTAGATGCGTTCTTGTTGCTGGTGCAACAAGCAGGTCTTCCGACAGATTTTCGTTAGAATTCTTAGCTGCGTCATTTCAGAATGTATCTTTTTCGTTAAAGTTCATTTACAGCAGACTCTTAACATATCTCATGATTATTACATGTATTCCTCAAAATATCTCACAAATAGCTTTTAAAAATCGGCAAAGTCTTCCATACATGATAAAAACGATTGAAAAGTTATTTGCAACTGAAAAAAGACAGAACCAAAGAAAAAAAATTTCAACGCCCACAGCGGGATTCGAACCCCCGACAGTGGGACAAAGTTTGGTTTGGTCATATCTTTTCAATAAATGCACGCATCAAGATACTAAGCACATATTTAAAATTCTCATAGGACACACTATAAACCCTGTAAATACTAAAGAAAAATATTGAAAAACAAAAAAGTTGAGAAATGTGACTTTTTGAATTCACTTCCGTTTACGACCGGAAGTGCCGACGACGAAAAATGAAGGTCGAAGCCCATAACGTAGTTCGATGTTCTATCACCTCAGTGAGTTTCACTTTCATATCTTTAGCCGTTCTCGAGAAAACTGCTGGGCAAAATGCCTTTTAAAAAATACAAAAATCCCCAAAAATCACGAACGGAAGTGAATTTTGAAAAAATGAAAAACACGTCTGGAGATATTTTCATGATGCATCTTCTCTGAGAAAATCTTTGAAATCTGTCCACGCATAGCTGAGATATCGGCTGTACTATGAAAAAAGAATAATTATAATAATAATAATAATAATAATAATAATAATAATAATAATAATAATAATAATAAACAGAAGGAAAACAATAAGGTCTTCCGAAGGAAGTCGGAAGACCTTAATAATAATAAAAAACAGAAGGAAAACAATAAGGTCTTCCGAAGGAAGTCGGAAGACCTTAATAATAATAATAAAAAACAGAAGGAAAACAATAAGGTCTTCCGAAGGAAGTCGGAAGACCTTAATAATAATAGAAAACAGAAGGAAAACAATAAGGTCTTCCGAAGGAAGTCGGAAGACCATAATAATAATAAAAATAGTGGAAAAGAAACCTAAGAATAACAAGAAGGTCTTCCGCTGAAGACGGAAGACCTTAACTAGTGCTAATTGTAACGGGGACCGTTACAGATGTTCCCCAACTTCCTTTTGCTGCCACATTCCCTGTAAACTTCATTAAATAAGACAAACTCTATGCATTGGAGACTTTAACAACATTTGCCCAGAAAGTACCAAGTTCATTCAAATTCTAGCATTGCACGTGTGCGAATGTGAATGCATGTGCGAATTAACCATATCATCTTGTCTAAACAATCTATATATTTTAATATACTAAATATTAAACTAATTAATCTAAAAGTATTTTTAAAAAATACGCTCATTTAACTGTATTTTTGATTTTACTCATTTCACGTGCAAGCACGTGCATACATGAGCATGATGACCATGCCTTCTTGTAGAAGTCCATTACATCTATCTATGTTCTAAATCCCTACCCGTTTGGTTGAAAACCAAGGGAGTTATAGCTGTTTAAAGTTTCAGCTAATTGGATTGCAGTGCACGTACATGCACGTGTATGCATGTGCATTGTGACAATACCATCTTGTAGAAGTCCATTATATCTATCTATGTTCCAAATCTCATCCTGTTTGGTTGAAAACCAAGTGAGATATAGCTATTTAAAGCATTAGCCAATCAGATTGCAGCGCACGTGCATGCACGCGTTTTCATGATAATTGCTATATATCTTTTTGTAGAATATTCTTATTCATGCCTATGTTTAAAATTTCAAAGGATTTCGTCAAAAAACAAGAAAGATATTGAGACTTTAGTTTCAGCCAATCAAAGCGAAGTGCACGTGCATGCGCGTGAGATCTTGCTTTTTTGACCTTTTAATCTTGTCTATGCTTCTAATACATACTTATAATATGAGTTTCAAAGCATTTCATCAATAATTAAAATAGTTACTTCTGTATCAATTATATTGGACATTTCTCGTGTTGCACGTGCGAGCTCTTGCAAGAACACGTGCATGCACATGTTTTCATGACAATTCTTATACAATAGGCTGTACATCTCTCTAATGTATGACTATGTTCAAAATTCCAAATGATTTTATCAAAAAACAGGAAAGATATTGAGACTTTAATTTCAGCCAATCAGAGCGAAGCGCACGTGCATGCGCGTGAGATCTTCCTATTCTGACCATGTCATCTTGTGCATACTTCTAATATATCCTTAATTTACGAGTTTCAAAATATTCCGTCAAAAAATAGAAAAGTTACGGTTATATCCATTATATATTGGTCATTTTAAGTTTTCCACGTGCGCACTCTTGCAAGCACGTGCGCGCAAAATGACTTTGATTCCGCAAATCTACATAACATGCCTACTTACCCTAAAAAGATTTCACCTAAGTCGGATGTGTACTTTACAAGATCATTCGCGGACAAGATTTTTCCCAGGAAGAAAAATAATAAAAATAACTAGAGCAAAGCTCGTTGCAAAGCAACGAGTAGGTCTTCCGTCCTGTTTGACCGGAAGTAGCTTTCTTTTTTAACAAAAATGAGAAATTACGGTCAAAAATGGTTTAAATCCTCTAAAGCTATGAAAATTATGCAAAAATAAGCTGTTTTTGCTACTTCCGGTTTTACCGGAAGAGACGACGATGGACGGAGAATTAATTTTTATGCTCCTAGAGAGATATGTTGTCCAAAAACTTGTCAAGAAGGGCAAAAATACGCGTTTTCCGACTACTTCCGGTTAGGCCGGAAGAGACGTTGGACGTATTTTGACGACTTTAATAGATTAAACTTGACATTTTAAACAACTTTGCTTCTTTGACGTATTACAAATTCTCAATACGTTTTGAGATATAAAGAAAAAACTTTCGGCCCCTTTAAGCCTTTAATTTTAAGGGCCAGCCCCTTTTTCGAGATATCATTTGAAAGATCTTGGAATTCCACACTTCTTTTGTTCTATATGTTTTAACTAATATTTCTAGGTAAAAAGATATGGAAGAAAAGGTGTTAGAAATTTTGAAATTCATGACAGGACTATTTTCGGACCATAGCGAGCGCCGACGTGCGGCGTTTCCGGAAAAAGCAAAATGCGAAAGGCACATCTACAGACCTACAGTACAGTCAACGCGGATTATGCATCAAACCGCGTTCCCCACGCGGTGTTTTAATCCTTCCCGCGATACACCCCCGCGGTGAGTTCATCGCGGTCCTACCTGTACTTGTCAAGTCAATTCGCATTTTCGGCGAGTGACAAAAATGTAATATTCCAGATTTCTAATTATAGTTCACCGATTTAGAGTAAAGATTTAAGTACATGTAAATAAGAACGAAATTTGATTTTTAATTCATAATCAAACATTGGAAAGAAGTATTCTCATTACAAAAAGAAATTATACACGAAAAATTTCATACAGTATAAATAAATGTGTATACTAGTACTGGCCGTTTCCTGTGTATATGAATTAGCATAATACCTACAGGTAAATTTCAAGCCCCGCAGGCATTCAGTCCTGTAAGTACGGGTCCATGTTCTGTGTACCTTGCACGTGATTTTCACATACAGTCATACTAACGCAATGAGGTAAAATACTTGCCAAAAACTGTCACGAAGCCAACTTTTACAGAAAGAATTTCAAACAGACAACTTGACCTTTTTCTTATTATCTTAACATTTTTCGATCTAAAATTGTGAAGAATTTATTTTTTACATAAAATTTCTTTACATCTAATTTTTCTTGTGAATTATAATATCAATGTTCAATGTATCTGGAGTACACTCTTTTTTTTGGGGGGGGGGGGGGTGGTTAATTTCTCTCTCTCTATTATTACTTATGGTTATATATATATATATATATATATATATATATATATATATATATATATATATATATATATATATATATATATATATATATATATATATATATATTTCTTGGGTTTTTTAATCACATCCACTGGAAAACTTATCATTGCAATTTTTATTTTTAAAATCAGCAAAACAGATATTAAAACAGACAAATAAAATAAAAACAATTGGTACAATTTAAAAAAGTTATTATCTATCCAAAGATTTTACTTTATAAAAGTCTTCAGTATCACAATAAAAATGTTAATGGTTGTCACTGTTAAAACACGGAAAGTAATCGTTGTCACTGTTAAAAATCACATAATCACTCGTGAAAGGTGAACACATCGTTGCACATGTCGACATTTACAGTCGGGATTACCAGTGTGGCAGTGCTGCTTTTCTTCAGTCTTTTGTCGTTTCTGCGGAGCGATTCATTTATCTTTGTCACTATCCTCTCCCTCCAATTTTCCTCTAATTGAAGGTCGGGGTAAAAAAAACACACGTAACGCTTAATCACCGACTTCCTCCGTGGGTCTAATTCCTTCTTCCCCAGCTTTCCGCCTCCAAACCAGTTGTAGTCAAATCTGAGGTTCCCCTCGCCATAGAGTTCAGGAAACAATTTCCTGCACAAATTGACTGCAAAATTACCTGAGTTCCTAGAATCTCTGAGAATTTCCCTGAGTTCTGCATCTGGAATTTGAAATTCCTCGGGAATACCTGTTGATGCACTGTCGGAGTCCGTACTGTTTAACTCACTGATATTGACAGCCTGAGTGGTCGGTTGTTGAAGGCCACCATTCCGTACAAGGTCGATGAGAATATTAATGTTGGTCAAAATTGTATTCATCTGAGCCTCTAGCCCGGACACCCTTGTGTTTGTTGCAGAAACCTTTTTGTTGAAAACATCATCTGATTTCCGGATGTCCCGCAATTCCCGCATGATGGCCTGCATACTGGCCGTGTCTTCCTCGCTTGTGGATGGACGGTAAGTCCGGAACCTGATAAGCGGGGTACTCGTCTGAAGTGACGAATCTGCGGAAGTTGGAGGATGTCTGGTTGGGGTCAAGAGCGTGGGTGTGACAGATGGTGCTGGTTCCTCAGTTTGTTCTGTTAGAATCGCGGGAGGTCGTGTTGGAGTTAGGAACGTGGATGACAGAAGTGGCGCTGTTTCCTGCAAGTTTTCTGCTGGTTCCAGAGTTGTAACTGTGGGACCATCCGGAGGAGGGGATCCTAAGGCTATCACCGTTGTCCTCGGTCTTCCGGATTTAGTCTAAAAAAAAAGTTTTTTTAATTTTCTAAAACAGAAATAAAACTAAATAAAATTATAGTGACAAAATACACATTATATTGAACACAAACGACTTAATTTTTTTTACTTTGAAAATGATATCAACTTACAATATACATATAAATTATATTTATGATTTTTTGTCTCTTTTCCATAAAAAGAAAAGTTACATTGAAATAGCTAAATAAAGCTACCTGAGGTAGGTAAATAAAGCTACGTAGGTAATTCTACCTACGTAGCTAAAAGTACTGATTGTACTGGACCTGTTTAGTAGGAAACATAATATGTATTTAATACTGCTTTGTAAAGATTTATGTTTATTTAATTTTACATCGAAAGTCACACTGCAGGAAATAAACTAAATCTATTTACCAGAGATTTTTCTGTTTTGCGGCGTTTCGGCTGCGGTGGCTCTTCTGGCCTGGGTGGAGTTGGTGATCTGGGAGAATGCGCTGAACGAGGGGAAGAGACGACTGGGGATGTCGGCTGCGACAGCAAATCCTTCAACTTGGAACGCATCCCCAGCTCTGTTCCTGAATGAATAACGACTGCTCTGTCAACTTCCTTTGGTCGCCCCCATTGTACATCATATTCCTCTCCGAGAGTCACAGAGGCACTGTCACACTTAAAAAACATATGAGTTCTCACTTGAAGATTGTCATCACATAAATACCGCACGATAAAGTGTGTATCATCACGCTGTAAACGTCTGGCCATGGTCATACAAAATGTAGAACTTTCTCAGTCGTAGTCTTTCCGTACAATGAGGTGTAATAAATTCTTAACAGATTTTTAAGCATGTTAGTAGGAGCTCTGCTCACTTGTGGTCCTTAGTAATTAACAAAGACAGTCTTGTGTACTGTCAACACACGCGTTGTAAGTAGTAGGTAGAAAAGCCAAAGGCCATGTGTATAATTGACTAATTTGACATACACTTACAAGTAAATTAAAATTCAGACGTTCTGTAAATAATATATTTTTGATATACTTCTTTTTTCTTAAAATATGTTATATCATTTTAATTTAACAAATGTTTCTTAAGTATGTATGAAAATCTGACACACACACACACTAACCTATTTTACAGAATTTTTAAAAACAACCTCTAATAATTATACACATTACAATTAGTCTGAATTACACATCACAATTAGTACAAAACAATGAGACACCTATAAATTCATCATATTCCGCTTAATAAGATTTGAACAGTTAGGTCAATTTGTGCCCGTGAAATAAATTCTAATGAAACCCGATAATTTTAAAAGATTATGTTGTTATTTTATTCGACACAATAACTATAAATACAGAAAATTAATATATTTCATTTAAAAAAAAAATAGTATGAATCTATTTTAACTTTTGGACGCTATAAATTTAATATTTGAAAGGTGGAGCCTCGAGATGAATGAATGTGTGTTGTATGTATTTTTTACACTTACATTTAAATCACTGTTAGTGATTTAACAGTATATTAACAGATTAAGACCCCCCAACAGATGTTAATTTTTTTGTACATTGTGCATTAAATCGCTTCCTTTGTACATGGATTAAGAGAGAAAAGACCACTGGTAGACTGCTAGCACCTAAGGAATTGACACCTGTACAAAATAAACCCACCCTCACCTGGAATTAACCATCCGCTAAAAATAGCTGCACGCGCCATGCATACAGTGGCAAGGACTACGTACGCTACTGTATATCCCCCTATCAGATGTACACATTACGTAATATTACATTTTAGTTGACTATCATCACACACAACACAACCCCCCTTTCCGCTCATTTCAACAGAAACCTATCAAGGGAAAAATCACTTTTCAAAGTAATTCAGCATGGGACGTATTAGGCATGACCTTAAGTTGGAAATCGTGTGGATGCATAGGAATGGCGCTTCCCAGGCAAAGATTAAAAGAAGACTTCAAGAAATGGGCTACACCGTTTCGAGGATCGCAATTTCTTACTGGATCCATAAGTATAATGTTGGACTTTTTGGTGATGTTTGTGAACCTACAGTGCCTATAACGAACACTTCTGTAAGTCAACGAGATGTGGACATTATCAGACACTCTCTCAACAAGGACTCAACTCTTTCCAGTCGGGATCTCCATAGAATTCTTAAGGAAGATGGTGCTACCTTCGGACTGACGACAACGAAGTTCGCGATTGATGCTTGTGGGTTTACACACTCAAAACCTCGGTATGGACAGATGGTGCGAGATGTGAACAAAGTTAAGCGAGTGGAATTTTGTCAGCGGTTGATTGCAACAAATGACAATCTGGATAATGTTATATTCTCAGACGAATGTTCCGTCCAACTTCACCAAAACAAACCAACAAGTTACAGAAGAAAAGAATCATCTTCGCAGGTACTACCCAAACCAAAGCACCCACTGAAGATTCATGTTTGGGCTGCCATTAGTAGAAGAGGTGCCTCCCAGATCCGATTATTTGAGGGTATCATGGACTCAGAGTTCTACATTGACTGCATCTTAAAAGACACTTTAATGCCTTTCATCCAAAGGAAATTCCACGGAGAGGAACATCGCTTCCAGCAAGACAACGACCCAAAGCACACCTCGAAGCGCACTACAGCGTTCATGACAGATAACGGGATCAATTGGTGGAATGCATGGCCGGCAGGTAAATTCAATTTTCAGCTTTTAAATCAGTAATTCTTTAAACTTAATAGTTCAATAGATTAAAAACAATATTAAAGATTTAACGGAGTTGGGGATATATTTTAAACTCATGATTTAAATATGTTCAAATATATTTATTAATTTAATCAAGATTCACATTAATTTTTCTTTTTAAAGGAAGAAAACATTTTTAAATCACATTATTAATGTACACGTATTTTTCAGAGAGTCCAGACCTCAATCCCATTGAGATGGTTTGAAATGAGCTGAAGAGGTGCGTTGCTCGTGAAACACCAAGAACGAAGAAGGAATTGGAGGACTGCATCTTGCGATTCTGGCGGACGGAGATGACTCCAGAGAAATGTTCCACTTACATCGACCACGTTTTCAAGGTTGTTCCAGCGTGTGTCGTTTTGAACGGAAGTGCAACTGGTGATGTTCCAAAGAAACTTTTCACGGAGAGATCTCGAGGAAAAAGCATCCGGTATTTCCAGGACATGCTCGTTTCTGACCCCGAGGTTCGCAACAAGGCCGCCGAACTGGAAACAGTGCCGTCTGTGTAGTGTGGACAGTTTCAGTGTAGATACAGTCATTAATTGTTTTTTGTGTATACTGTACATGTAGTACAATCTACGGTACTATAAACTCGTTTCTGACCCCGAGGTCTGCATCAAGGCCGCCGAACTGGAAACAGTGCCGTCAGTGTAGTGTGGACAGTTTCAATGTAGATACAGTCATTAACTATTTTTTTTTTTGTATACATGTATTACGATCTTTACTATTGTTATAATGGACAATTTGATTATTATGAAAATTAATTTGAATGGAATAAGTAGTATTGTGAAAATACATTTATATTGAAATTAAATGCATTTATAATAATTCATTCTTATAAAGATATTTATTATATTGTCCTTAGTTGTTTTCTTTTTATATGACTTCGAACAATCAATAAAAAATAAATTTCAACAAGCATGACAACAACGAAATTTTGTGTGTGTGGGGGGGTCCTTTTTTTATTTATCGTAATTTATTTTTAAGGGAGGATTTGTAATTAAAATACTTTAAATGTTAATAAATAAAGATATGAAGTTCATGCAGACGGCAGTGGGGGATCGGGGGGGGGGGGGTCAAAAATTATAACCCTCCCGGTTTATGATTGTTTTTAGAACTGTCAAAATGTTGTGAAATTAAAACAAACCTAATCCAACCCCTTTGTCTTTCACAAAAGTGTGAAATTATACCCAGTACAGTGACAGGAAATCTCTCTCCGCTTGAATGCACTCAATACACAGGAATCTAGCAGTTACTAGGGAGACGAAGATTAGTCCGTGCAGCTAAATGTACACTGTGTTTACATGTACTAGATCTACCGAGGACAAAAAGTTTACTAATCAATGCAAAATGCACATAAAATGTTTTTCAGACATTGTTTGTGGTGGAGTTTATGAATTTCTTTTTCAGTCAATTCTTGTTTACACGACGTAAAAACATTTAGACCCAGAATAAACTTAGAAAGGAATGAGACTCCACAGATGACTCGGAGAATGCTGATTACATAAAAATCTTCTGCGTATTTTAATCTTATATTTGAAGATTAATGATTTTAAAACACCTTCATTTAGAGCCCCAATGAAAGTGACACTGCGATAGATCGTTTCTTTAATCAATCCACTATTAAAATAATTAAATAGCTAAAATTTACAAAACACACTACGAAAATATAAATTAATATCGAATGTCATGAATAGCACACTAGGTGTTTTATTTTGCATTGTCGTATAAATATATTACATACTGTAATTTATATCGAAATTTGTGGTTCTAATTGGAATGAACTCATTAAAAGTAGTTCAAGAATTATTAAACGCTATTTGAGAATTGCTTTGACGATTTTTTATAATTATTTAGATACATGAGAGTATATTTTTTAGAAAATTAATTTTCGTTTAGTACTTCAAATATTCTAATATTTTAGCTTCTATATTTCTAAAATTTCATTACTGTTACTTTTTGATTTTGTTTTCAATTCCCTATGTTTTGGTTTCGTTATATTTTGTTTTGCTTTATAATTTCAAAGGGAGGTAACTCGCGTTTGAGACCAAGATTGTTTTTCACCTGTAATCGCTAATGTGCACCGCGACGGTGTGATTTACCTGGATTGTTGAACCGCGGGGGCACGCGGTTTTTACCTGAGACACCTGTACTAACCGCGATGAGATTCACACCGCGGAGGTGCGCGGTAAATGCATAAACCGCGTTGACTGTACTGTAGGTCTATCATACCTGAAAGTTTCATATTTCTATCTTAACCCATTTTCCAGAAAAACTCTGGACAACCTGACCCTTTAAAATTCATAAAATCGGCAATATCTCAGACCGGAAGTGACATCATCAAAAAAGAAAAAAACGCATAAGGTTCAAGTGAAGATACATAAGTCCTGCAAGTTTCATGAAAATTCATCGAGCCGTTTTCGAGAAATCGCGTGCACAAAATCGGTAAGAAAAAAAACAATAATAAAAGTGAAAAAGAAACCTAAGAATAACAAAAAGGTCTTCCGCTGAAGACGGAAGACCTTAATGATAATAAAAGTGAAAAAGAAACAATAGAGTAATAGAAGGGTCTTCCGTTGGAGACGGAAGACCCTAATAATAAAAGTGAAAAAGAAACCTAAGAATAACAAAAAGGTCTTCCACTGAAGACGGAAGACCTTAACTAGATACGATCTCGTTGCGAGCAACGAGTGGGTCTTCCGTCCGATTCTTGATGAGATGAGATAAGACTTTGATTGAGATTTTCATTCTAAAATTACGATTTTCCATAATCTTTAAATTGTCATTGAACATTAAAGACTTAAAAAATTCGACTTTTGGCCCTTCACGGCCCCTAATATTAGAGATCAGCCCTTTTTCTTAATATAATCTTAAAGCTCTCAGGATTTTGATCACATTTTGTTCAACAACTATTCAGGGATTCTTTTTTTGTTTTTAAGTTATTTGCAAAGGAAATATTTAGGAGCCAACCCATCAACTCCTAAACAGGGATGTTTAGCGAAAAATGAATGGTTGCATATTGTTCAGAATATGTTTTTG